CAACCTACATGTATATATTGTTTAATGTAAAATCTGTTCAATTTAATCTTGCATGTGTCATATGTTTTAAAAAGCAGTATATGAAAAATTCTACATCATTTCATGATGTACTTCACATTGTTAGATCAGCTCTTGCAGTTGGCTCGTACATTCATGTACACTTTGTGAGCTGTGGAGAGAGGAGAAGACAGAGACACACAATGTACTGTCAGAGACATTATAAACCACAGACACAGGAGCCATTCAATTTTAAAAAATAACAAACAAATCTTATCAATGCTTCCAAAATATCAGCTGTGCACTAAAATAGAATAGTAAAAACCCTCTGAGAGAATCCTCTCAGCCCTGCTACCATACCATTTTCTAACTTTTCACGCCGATTGCTGGCACAACGGTACGTGACAGCGACGATGATGAGGGTCAACAACACGTCTGTGAAGATGATGCCCGCTATTGTCCAGGGCTCAATCCTCCAGCATGTAGTGTTGTCTGGTATACAAAGACACACAGGGAAAAACCAGAGTGGGATGAAAGAAAGGAAACTCTGTAGGTGCAAGTGGAAATATTGACTGATAAGAGGTGGTTGTCTGTCTGGCTCTGCATTTGTGTTGCTGTTTATCTATTTGTCTAAATGGCAACATTCATAAAAACTGAATTTCTGAGTTGTCCTTTTAAATTACATACCTGCAAATGCCACAGCCAAATCTGAGAGAAGAAAACAAAAGAAACAAGAGCTTGTTAATGACATTATGCAGCAACACCTCTGTCAGTTAAGTTTCCGCTGCATATGCACAATTTTGTTTTTGTGGTTTGATTTTCCTGTTTGAGACCACCCTAGTGTCGCGCATGTGTGTGTTTGCACAAAGACGAGAAATCTGCTGTAAAATCAGACTTACTGCAAAAGAAAAACAGCCCAACCATAAAGTATTTGTTGTGTGCCATGTTTCTTAGCTCAGTTAGCTGCTTTCTGAAAGACAAAAGATCATTCGCATGTTATATTTCGCATCATTTTGAAGGTTAAATCCCCTGAACGTTTAGAAACAATAGCGTCGATGATGTGCAGCACAGAAAATTCAACTCCAGAGTCAAAATGAGGCAGAGCTGTGAAGTATTCTTGGCGCATGTCTTCAATCTTAAACTACACATCATGGTGTGACTTGACAGACATGAAATGGTTCAATGTTGGGATGAGGAAGAGTGTGTCTGTCAGTGTAAATGAAGATCTCATACCTTGCTCAGCTCGGACTGATCTGCTGACTGGAACTCAAAAGAAGATGTGACTCTAGTTTCTCTTCAGTTGTTTGATTTTGAGGTTGACGTCAGCGCTCCTTCCCACTCTGCTGCACCGATTCACTTTGACTCAACACGGTCTGACATTTACTTCCTGATAACTGGTGGATTACATGACAAATTATAGATTATAATAGGACAGAACAGAATACTCCTGCTCTTACTCTCTTATGTAATTGTTAAGTTTCACACACACTGTCTCTTGTCTTCTCTGGGGCATAGTAAAACAGGCTGTTGTGTTTGTGAAGTGCGAGAGCTTGGCGAGGGTCAAAGGCTTCGCTCCCTAGACATCACAGATATGAGACTGCGTAAGCAGGCAATACTGTCTCCATCACTAGAAATACATTTGATTGATTAGGAACACACCCATAGATTGAATGATCTGTTGGGGTTTAAAGTGCGACTGCAGGAAAGCAGACTTCAGAATATGAGAGAGCATCATGCACAGATGTTGTGTGGATGAATTCTGATTTTCTCCTTGGCCAAGCTTCAATTAATATTTCAACATTCATTCAATGCTTTCTTCAATGATGAGTTGACCATTGATCAGCAGATTTTCCACAACAGTAAGTACATATAAATATACACATACACATAAACAGACAAGTAAACATTCACACACAGTCACACACATTAATAAATATACACACTTATGCATACATACATAAACATACACAGACATACACATAATGTACACACACACACACACACAGTGTAAATGTGAGGACACTTGAATGCTGGACTTTGCACTAAGTTCAAAAATGTATGATTCACAGGCCTAAACATGAGAAAAAGATTAAGAGAAAGTATTACATGTAGTACAATCACACAACACTTGGCTGTCGTACACACCCCCCTCTTCTCCGTTGCCAACACATCCAGGTACAGAAATGTCTGCTGTTGTTCTAGTAAAGTTAGATGTTGTCTGAAGTATCTCACAGTGGAGAACATGAGCTGGATCCTCCTCAGGGCCTGTTTCCTGATGGTCTGAGGGGAGATCGTCCTCACACAGAACTGAAATGTGAGGGTTGTTGAAATATCACCCGTGTGCTCATTGTGTGGCTCTACTGACTCTTAATGGCCGCGCACCTTCAAAATCAAACAGCTCTTTTTTTCATTACAAGACACAAGTGACATTCAAGAATTAAACTAGACTTTCAAACAACCATTTTGGCTCATGATGGTCCATCCTTCTACCAGTCAGCCAGTTGGAGACGAAACAATTGACTTCATGTGTGTGATTCGTCTTTAGTGTTAGTGGCTTTCCTTTGTGTTAGATTGATGTTGAGTGAATTTAACAGCAGAGGGAGCTGTGAGGCTTCCTTCACACAACATGCAACACAACAAACTGAGAATCTCTCTGTAGTGTGTAGGTTTCACAAACTTATCCTCTTTGTTGCATTCTCCTTTTCCAACTTCCAGCTCTTTCTTCTTTTGAATGAAAGGCATCGAGATCTGTGTTATTCGTAGCAGATTGGTAATAACAGCCAGATAGTCTTATTATCTTATTCTAACAAATACAGAACAAAAACACATAAGAGAAACACATAAGTTAATACATTTGTCTTAGTATACTGTGAGATAACGATGTCAAAGAGAGATTAAAACATTAATAATGAATTCAAAAAAACCAAAAAAACATTTGTTTCTTAATAACTTATTTTGTTTCTTTGCTTACATTTTCCTTCATTTCTTTTCCTCTTACAAATATATGTATTTGAACTTTTGGCAGAAATTGAATATAAAATAATCCAGTGATGTTTTCACTGGTGTGTTTCATCTAAATTGTATGAATGGTTGTTTTGTTCACCATAGAATGGGCTTCTATCTGAAAACGTTATTTTTACATGGAGGGGGGTCCTCTCTGTGAAGGCCACCATATTTTTTACTGTCGTCCAAACTGGACAAACTGGACAAACTGAAACCTTTTGAGTTTTCATGACAACTGAAGTTCACCACAAGTTCTCTTTCATGTTTGGAAGGGGAAGGTGAGATAAGAATTGTTCAGCTGCAACATGAAACTTCACCTCAAGATATCACTTAATTCTACACACTGAACCTTTAAAGATTTAGTTTATTTAAAATCCAGCTTAAACTGCAATGATAGGTCACTCATGCTTTTAGGCCAATTATCAGTTCTTCTGGCTGATCTACGTTCTACAGGAAATCACCTTTAAGTTTCCCTGTTTCCCCTTTAAAAGAAATCGAGAGCCTAAAACTGTCATTATCAGCATTTTCACCAAAACGCTCATTTCTCTCTGTGATCAAATTTCCTGCAAATTCATCAGCAGGAATTATAGCATCATTATATGTCTCCTTTTAAATTAAATGAAATGTCTCCACAATGTTGTCTGACAGGTGTTTATGGAACCATTTGACACTAAAATATTAGTCATTTGGTAAAAAGAGATTTAATCATTATTTGTTCCAACATCATGTATTTGAGGTGACACAGAAGTTCCTGTGAAGCTGCAGGGCTTTTACCTACAAGAGGAAAAACACTTTATTGAAGAAAAATCTGAGATCATATTAAACGCAATTATCAAAATTCAGAACATAGATAGGACTGAAATATAAACATATATATATAAGAAGAACAATATGTTTTTCTCAAGTTTCAATGTTAATTTACACTAATATTGAAACTTTGCTCTCATTAATTCAAAATTTTCATCAACACTATGTAAGTAAATGTAAGTAAATATCCTCATGGGGGACTAAAGAAAAGACATAATTGTAGAGTTTATTGATTTTTAGAAAGTGAACTAATTAATTGTGTTCAACATTATGCTGCTGTTTTATTATGGTTATTTACTCCTGTATCTATTGTTTTCTATCGATCTACATTGATAATAAACATATCACATATTTATGTATTCAATGATATTCAATATTACAACCAGGACTAAAGGCATTCAGTGCATATGCTGACTGGCTAGAGTACAATTAATCTTAAACTTATACTAATATTTCACAAAATAAACATGTGTTCCTCTTATAACATTTGATACATTATTATACATTCATATATATAACAATTAACTAGTTACAGTTTGTTCAAGTAACCTCAACCTTGAATTACTACTTAACATTAAAGGGTTACCTATACTTTATAATGTCAAATATAATGGTAGAAACTGGAGGCACTCATACATTTAATGCTTAAATAAAAATTGGATTGATTGAACTGAGTATATATATATATGTATATATATATATATATATATATATATATATATGTATATATATATACACACACATATGACAGTAGCATACTTTATATTGTTGTATTGCTACTTCACATTGAATTATCTGAATACTAGATTTACTGAGAATAATGATTGTGATTTTGTGTTTATTTGTAACAGTTGTTTTTCACAGAGCTGTAACCACAGCGCTCATTATTTTCTCACCATCTCCTCAGTTCCGTGTTACGCAGTACCTCAGTATCTCTGGTTTGACATAATGGTGAGTGTGTGCTTCCCCTGTTTGAGGGCGTGCCACAGCTGGGGGGGCGGATGGGGAACAACGTGTTCTGTGTGTACAAGCAGCTGAGGTGAGACAGAAAACCAGACGCACACGTCAGTACACCACTGAACATCACAGAGCATCACTGTGGGAATCAGTTGATCCAGATTGGCGGCTCAGAAAAGACCTGTTGAAAACTTCAAGGCAAAAACCGTTTCTGACATGCACTTTGATAAATGTGAGTATGTGCTTTTAATTTTTCACTGGCATCATATTACCAGCTGTGTATTGAATGGTGTGACAGTAATGATGACAGCTCCATTCATTCATCCACAATAACAGCTTTAACTAATACTAAATTTTAAGTCATTGCATTTATGGGCAATATAGATCACCGTACTTGTTGTCATGGCAGCCTTAGAATGAAAACTTGAATTTAGATTGTGACTGTCTGAAATTGGAGTTCTTTCAGATATTTTCTACATGACAGATTTGAGTATGTACTAGTGATAATGTGCATCCAGTCATTTCACTGAAATGTTCATGTAATCTCTTGGTTTTTATTGACTGAAAGCACAATTTTGGTGAATCCAAGAGGCACAGCATCATCAGGGGAAACCCTGACACACCTCAGCACCTTCTTCTCTCTTGTTTTCATTTCCCCTTTATGTTCAATAATACCAGACCAGTGAGCTGTGTGACGTGACGACTTGACTTGCTTTGCTCAACTCTCATTTCCGGGCCTCCACTGATACAGGCCAGAGCTAATATTTCTGTTGTGTGTACTGGGTCTGTTAAACCACAAAATGAGGAAGCTGCTCTTTCTGCTTCTTTCTTTCACTGAGGGCTGAGCCAAATGAGAAAGGTCATTGGAATCCCCAACCTCCCAAGCACATGACTCAAGATCCAGGGGTTTCCACAACCACTATTTGACTATGGCACTGAATAGCCCCAAGCAGTGTGTGGGAAGTTAGCACACACCAAAGATCTAAGCGCATGTGGGCTAAGTTGACCTACTCCTGGACAAGCTTTAAAAAGTAGTTTCACTCAGCTGATGTGTCACAGCAATCTGTAAAGTGTTGAGCAAATTCCTTCTACTGGTAACTCACTCAGTTACTCTTTAGAGGTGACAGAATTACATCATCGGCTTAAAAGGCCAAAGGTGGAGTTTTTTTTATAAAGATCAAATGAGTCAGGGTTGAGTAACACATAGTAACACCTTACGAACTTGATAATGAAGTCTACCTTTTTTATGTTGTGAGGTCATGAGAGTTTATTGTTTTAGGTTTTTCAGCTCAGAGCCAGAGAGAAAGAAGTGGCCACTGGAACCGTCACATCCATGAACTCACATTTCTCTCTCACTGTTTGAATTGCATGTATATTTGATATCTTTGATATGCTGTGGTGAATATAGAGCTGTCTTGTCTCTGTGTTGCTCACCGCAGCAGTCAACACTCACACAGCTAAAACAAAAAGAGGAAAAGAGACAAAGGAGCATGTCATGAACCTGCCTCCCAGATGCGTTGGTGCACTAGAAAGCACAAGGCAGATACACGTGTTGAGGTGACGTGCCTGTGAAACACCAAAGGCAGGAAGATGTGGTTTTAGCTTTTCTGTTTGCGTAACGGAGCGCCACAGGAAGATGTCATAGAAAATAAGTGGTGGCAATCCCAGTGTGTTCGAATGGCGACATGATCTGTGTTCCTAATGGAGGAGGGCTTTTTTAAAATCTCTGCGCTCAGGTTCCACAGACATGGGTGGAAATATCACGTGTGGGGTGAAGTTGTGATGTGGTCACATAGTGTCAGCTGGAAACATCCGAATTCTGTTTTGTGATGTGTTTTTCCTGTTTTTCAAATTTCCTTTACCTGATCAATGGAAATGAATTTCAGAGGGGAAAAGTACTCATAAAGGATTCGGTGTACTTTGTTTGAAGGTGAGCAGAAACATGTTGCCATGGAGAAAGTGAGCAGGCTGTATCATCCATCTGATAACAAGTTAGCTGACACTTCAAGTAAAGCTGAGCCTTTCTTGATATACACATGTATTCCAGTGAGAGGGAATGAGAGACTCATCCATAATTTACATGATCTAGTTATTTACAAAAAGAGAAAGCTCACTTCTCAATGAAAGATCCACATCTGTCATTAGAGACTATGATCAATTTTCAGCTGACTGGATCACATCACTTCACTGTGCATTGGATTTCTTTCCATTTTCTGAAAGTATTTACCAAAGAATTGATAAAAACATTTAAAAAATCTAAATATTGTTAGTTCCAGACCAGTGTTCTTGATCTCAGATATGATACAAACATGAACAAAATATAAAACCACACATTTATTTACTTTTAATCTAGCCCTGATCTTGATGACTGTTTGAATCATTTTATAATGTTTTACTTTAGTTATATCTTTTTGCTCTTTTCTTATATTTTTATTCGGATGGGCTCTAATGTCAGACTCTGTAATTTCAGCACCAAAGGAGAAGCCGTGTTGCACTCTGCCCACAGTGAAGAAACTCTTGGAGGAGAAGAGGAGGCGTGAGTCATCGCCTGTGCCAACGTCCTGCTCTGCAGCGAGCACAAGTCCTGGTCCCTCAAACACTGTGACAGTAAGCCATCAAACACAGGGGCTCAGCATCTAAATCATAATAAATATATATTTATATAATTAATAATACAGTAAAACTGTGGTTACTCATCACTTCTTCTGTTCTCTCTACCAGCAGTTGTCCTCGTCAGAAGTATTTACCTGTACAGGTAAGAGCCAACAAAACCTATACACAACCGTCCTTTTATTTGATATTTTTTCTTATTTCCCACAAAAAAGGCCAAAACTAAAAATAAATGAATTCCAATGTGTGTATTATGTGTTGAGCTAAAGCCTCAGCTAGAGTCCAGACTATAATCAACTGGACAATTAAACACCTCATGTTCTTCAGCACATTCAAGGAGAAATAAAAGAATAGTATAACTGTGTTACAGCATTTTAAAAGTGATGTAAACACTTAAATGTAATATAAATTGTTTTCTTCTCAAACTGAATGAATTGAACCACAGAGCCTGGTGATAATAAATGTATTTACGTCCAAACACTTGGTCTGGACTGTGTGATAGAACTCCAGTATTGTCCAATCAAATCACTAATCACTAATGCGCCACATCCACGGCAGAAAATAGTCCAACTTATTCTACTGTTGAGATATTTGCCAAAAGCTACAATGTACAGCCAAGTTTGTATTTATGACCTGTTTCTTATATATTCGTTTAGGAACAGTATGTTATGTTGAGTACTGTATTTATATTCAAAACGCTTTTTGTTTTTTTTACTTCATTGCTGTTTATCTTGACCAGGACTCCCTGGCAGAAGAGATATTCTACCTCAATGGGACCATTCTGGTTATATAAAGAACTTGAAAACAAAACAAAACAATTGGCATTGACCTTTAAATGGGACTCGTTGACAAGAACAAAAACTCAGACCACTCTAAACTATTTTGAATGAGGGTCATATTCTCTATCATTCAAACATCCCATTCTCACACAGCTGACGGGACATTTGTGGGCCGGTGTATTGAGAGAAGAAGAATCCTGCACACTGTCCTGTCCTGCAAAAAAACGTAAAGCACAGTGTGTGGGATTCCTCTTCTCTCACCTGCATGTGCTTTTTCTCCTTCGCACCTGTCCACTGTATTTTTGTAGTTGTGCATTGGCCTCTTCAGTGTTTTGGGGACAGAGTCTTGCCCGTGGACTCCTGGACCGGAGCAGACAACCCGCTCCACCTGCTGAGCCACAGCAGCCCCACACAATGTTGAGTGTAAGAGTGTGAATATCACAGACTCAGTCATCAATCTAGGCTTTCCATTCTAGGTGCATCATCAAGCAGCTACTCAGACATGGCAGTGAGCTTTGAGCCGTGGACCTCAGCCCCAGAACCAACACTCGGTTTCTATGGCAACGATCCAGGACCCAGCTACACTCCAGCCTTCAGCCTCCCCATGTCGTCAGAATACAGCACACAGCAGCAGCTCTCTGGATTTGCAGACACAATGACATATGTAAGAGGACTCCCATCTTCATGACCTTTCAAGCATAATCATATGTGCTGTTGGCCTTAACCATACTGTTTTTAGCAGGATTGCCAGATGCCTGTAGCAGAACCCACTTCATCTTGGTCACCTCTGGGTCTGAGTCAGAACACGCAGATGAGTTTCGGTTCGTCGATGGATGCCACCAAACTGGAAGAGGCCAGGATGCTGCTCAGCGGGATGGATTACAGCAGAACCACCGGGCAGGACGAAGACGGAGACACGTGAGTGCTAATGAGGCAATACATTAGTTTCAGAATGTGGGTCTGAGTTTGTCTGTGCCTGAACCCTAAAAACACAAACATTAGTTAACTACTTGCGAGCAGTTTCGTTTTCAGTCGTGAGTTAGAACGAGAGCCACATGCTCAGATGTGTAATCCTAGAAAGTTAAAGAAAGTTGTTTAAGAAAGACAAAAGAAGGTGATGAGTCAGTCCCCAGCTCTAGATGATTAGAAACACAGCTAAAAATGGAAAACCAAACAGTGAAAGGGAAAAGTGTGGGTCGGGATTACCACAATTTTTTTCCCATCCTCATTTATAACTAATTTATCATGTGCTCTCGTCCTGTCAGCATCCTGCACATCTACACTGCCAAGGGACTCAGGGAGTGTGCCTTTGCTGCTGCAGAGCGGCTGAGGGATGTGGGGAGGCTGGACGCCAAAGAACACAAGGGAAAGGTATGGAAAATATGCACAATCTTCCAAAGGGTGCAAAATGCTGTTTTGGCTCCAGTAAATTAATAATTGTATGATAAATGTGTGCAGACTGCCTTACTGGTGGCAGTGACTGCAAACCAGCCAGAGATTGTACAAGATTTACTGTCACTGGGAGCGGAAGTCAATGCTTGTGATGTCAATGGACAAACTGCCCTGCATCTGGCCGCCCACTATGGTTTCCCAGAGGTTCTGCAGGTAAAGCATTCATACCACTGGATCACTTTGGCATCAGATGAGTTTTACTGAACACACTTTAATGATATATAATTTTTTTGCAGGCAGTTCTGTTCAGCAGACGTGCTGTCAACCTGGAGGCCTGCAATTTTGACGGTGATTTAATGTCTTGTTTTTTGTTTCTATTGGCTAACCAACAGGGAGGTTGTTTAAAGGTTGCCGTGCATTATAATTCACATCGTTAATGTCTTCTTCTTTGCCTCAGGTATGACTCCTCTGCACTGTGCAGCCATCTCTCACAGTGCCACCATGAAGGTTTTGTCCACCACTGGTCTGACGGATGTTGGTCTTCAAAGCAAGGCAGCGGAGAAGCTCACCTGTGTGCAGATGCTGCTCAATAAAGGGGCGTCCTTGTGCAGCCAGGTACAGTGCAGCTCTCCCTTTCCTGAAAGTCACATGAGCTGAGCAGATGACAGGATGATTACAGAGTCATCAAAGTCAAAAACTGCTAAACCCCAGTGAAAAGCAGTTCATACAGGGGAAGTGCCCAAGTTATATCTAAGTGTGATAATTTCGTAATCCAGGCAGTTTCCCTCCCAATACTCTTTTTTTAGTTTTCTCTTTCTTGCTCAACACTTAAATGTTTCATTCTTGTGGTTTCATTCTATTTTTTCCCTGTCACTTTCAATTCTCCACTTCCAGGAAATCAAAAGTAACAAAACTGTGCTGCACTTGGCTGTGAAGGAGGGGAACATCGATCTGGTGTGTTATCTGCTGAGGATTCCCCTGCCCAACATCAAAGACTTTGTCAACATGAAAGTGAGTTCCACTCCGGTGGACTTTCTACACAAATGTGTTTGTGCAAAGAAATACTGGATACACAAACAGTCTGAGTAATGCTGCGTTTTCTTTCTTTTACCAAGGCTCATGGTCACACAGCTTTACACATGGCCGCTGGTCTCCATGGTAACCCCCACCAGGAGGAAATCCTGCGGCTGCTGCTGAGGAGAGGAGCTGATCCCAGCATCCGCAACCTGGAAAACGACCAGCCGGCTCACCTGCTGCAGAGCGGCCCCCAGGGAGAGCAGGTGAGCCGCCCCCTCATTTGAGCATTCACTTCTGCACCATGCAGAGTCCTTTTCTTTTAATATTTATCACAATTTCTTTTCATTTCCAGCTCAAGCTGCTGCTGAAGAAACGGAGCGCCTCATCCCGTCGACGCTACATGTCCTTGCAGGACCAGGAATGATTTAAACCACTTGTAATCCTCGTTTGGAGGGAATGAGAATGTTTCCTCTGTTGATAAGGGGATTTACACTTTATTGTTTGGAGGTACTGGGAGTACCTGGCCAACATGTTGTTAACAAACCAGTTTGGTAAATTAATCCCTTGATATGATTCACATTGGATTTGACAAATGATGCTTTAATACATCAAGCTTAAATTACCTGTGATTTAGTGTCTGTAAGCATGTCATGCTTTATTTATTTATCTACGCACAGGCTTTGAGCATTAATATGTAGGTGAAGCATCTCATTCCAAAACAGGATTTCCTCCATGGAGCCTTTTAAAAAGATGCTCCTGCTAAAATTTGTGACTAACAGAGACATTATAATTCATCTGTTTATCTTTGTGATACTTCACATTTTGAAAAAAACACATTCAGAGAGCATTAGCATTAGCTCTCTGAATGTGCTGTGGAAGGTGGAGTAACATTCATTTTCTGATCAGGCCACACTCCCAGTTTTATGTTGATTTCTGTGAAATCGTTGTTATGAGCCCCCGGGGACAACGTCCCTGAAACCCCACTTTTCTTTCCAAACCCCACCATCATGATAAGTTATCATATTGATACACTGAGTGATGGTTTCAGTTTCAGTCAGCATGTGTGCTTATGTTAAGAATGCGTGTGCTATAGAATGAAAATAACCGATCATGTAATTTAATGTTCTGTCCGTATGCATCATACTTCAAGTGGTATCATTTTCGTAATGGAAGAAAAGAAACTTTACTGTGTAAAACCGTATCTGAATTTGAAAACCGAATGAATGACGAATGTTCTTTCTCATCACAGGTACATGTGCAGTGACTATCTGTACATTCTTGTCATGAGTCATGAATAAGAGCATAATAACACTGTGTGTAAAGCAGTTCCATTTGATTGTTTTGATCTTCAGGATGGAAAATATGCCACCCCACTACAGAGAGCTGAGCATCTACACCAGTTATTTACACTCTGTTATTGTAAATCCTCCCTGACCTTTGTTGCCATGACAATCAACCTGAGTCATAAGTGAAATCAAGTTTTACTTCGAGTGTAATTTCAGTGATGAATAATTCCTGAGCAGTGTGTCATCTCTTTTATTAGACATTCTGTGAATTCCTGTGAAGCAAGACAAAGATCACTGTCATTAATAAACAAATGATATTTTCTCATGTCTCTCACTCATATCAAACCGCATAATCAGATGATTAAAGGCACTGATAAAACTGTGTTGAGTCGACAAGAGCTTTATTGTATTGGGTTTGATTTCTCAAACTTTAATTCCTTTGACTTGAAATAAAAATAAACTTCTCATACTAACACATAGAAACAAACATTTAAGATACAAATCTTCTTTTGTATTTTTCAAAACATATCCTAAATAATACATTACTGTTCATTTTCATCAAGATATTATGGCAGCTGCTTAATTTTAGCGAGATCATTTAACAACTTTGTATTTGATTTGTTCTTGTCATTAGTTTCCTCATTCTGCCATTAATTAATGCTTCACTGAAAGCCAGAAAAAGTAGATAAACAGAAATAAAGTTAAAGGAGAAGAAAATAAGGGAAAGTTTGTTATTTAGGCATGCAGTTCACAGGTCATTGATACAAAATGGCCAAGTCTATATATACTCATGCTCTTTATTTTACTGTAAAGGATTAGAGACATAATTGTTGTTTCTGTCTCTCTGTGTGTACAAGTTTTTTTTTACATGTATTCATGTTTCTACTACTTATAGTAACAATAATCACACAATACTGAGCAAAGTATACAACACATTTTTTGTGCACTTAAGACTTTCTGCAGCGTTAAGAGAAGAGGCATCCAGGGCAGGGAGAGGAGAAGCTGTGGGAAACTCCGCATTACTCAGACATCCACATTGGTTGTGTGAGGAAGCATCAGAAAACCCTGTTTATTGATCATCAAGCTGACAGAGGTATATGAGCCATAAAAGGAATTACCGTTAACAAGTGTGGGTGTGTGTGTGTTTGTATGTGTGTATGTGTGTGTGTGTGTGTGTGTGTGTGTGTGTGTGTGTGTGAGTTAGCTGGCATGCTTTCTCTCTCTCTTTCAAGTCTATATTCACTATACAGTTTGAGGAGGAACTGCAAAAGGAAGAGACACAAAACACATAAGTACATTTTAAAGCACGTAATAATAACAATAATAATAATGACCTGAAGCGACTGCCTGCAGTTAAGTGAACTTACCCTCTGTCTTTGGAATCTGGGTCCCAGACGAGCTGGAGCTGAAAACACAAATAAGGAAGGAAATGAGTAAATATTCCTATTTTCAATTTCATCGTTATAACTGATAATCAATCACTGGTTTTGCAGTTTGAAACCTGTGGCCACAAGTTCAACTCAGGGGGATGCATTTAATCAAGTGTCTCCATCATCAGGATGTCAGGAGTCAGTTGAAGCCACAGGATTCTGAGTGAGTCAATCAATAACTATTAAACAATATCCATTTGTTATCGTGCTCAAACAGCAGCTCTATAGTTGTTCTTCCTCTCTGGCCATTCAAGCAACATGCGATCAGCCGAATGCACACGGCCACACGCTCACTACCAACACATGAGCAGTGTGATGCATACGTTTAAATTGAATTCTTTTCAAGAACAAGCACACAGTTCTGGGAAATGTGAAAGCACTGCCCACATGTAAATTGTCATGTAAACTCTTATGTGCTGGGAGTGTGTTTCAGGGCTGTGTGTCAGCAGAACAAGGGGGAATGGGCATTAAGAGAAGATGCACCCAGGGCAGGGAGAGGAAAGGCTGTGGGAAACTGAGCATTAGTCACATAACCACACTGGTTTCCATCTTCAAGTCAGAGTCACACAGCATGCACAGGCAGGTCCACATGTCTTACTTGGATGAGGATTTTACACATTTAGTGAATTTTTTACCTGTTTGAGGAATGATAAAAGAGTTAGAAATTTGATAAAGCCTCTGAATTAGAGATATATATTTAAACCAAAGTCTGAACTTACTCAGGGCTATTAAAATGCCAGAGACAAACATAACAACAGCGAGGACAACCCCTGTGGTCCGCAAAGTCTCATAATCTACAGGGGGACAAAATCATTGAGTTTACCACACAGACGTTCCATGATGGTGAAATTAACTGTAATAAAAAAAAGATGTGGGTCCTTTGGTTTTTCAGATCTGTAAATGGTGTGAATCTTACCGTAGTCAAAGTCACTTCGGTCTGGAAACATTGTTTCTGCAGAGAGAGAATCTGGTCAGTTACAGAACAAATAAAAATACTAAAATAAAGATGACGAGTTCAGCAGCAATAAGCTCCAAGTGTGTGATTTTAAATCCAGCAGTAACGAACAAGGAGCTTTGCAGCTCTCTGGATCTGCAGCTCCTCAACTCCTCAGGGGTTTTTTTTTTCACAACTGAGAGGCGCTCAATGCAGCATATGTGCTCAGCAGAAAAAGATGCACCACCAAAAGTGGGTTGGGGGCCAGCAGCAGCAGCAGCCAGGAAACAGGGATATCATCACAGCAGCAGAGAAGAGAGATGGAGTAGTGAAATAACATGAAATGTGTTTGAGATATTTCACGATGATAGATTAGACACTCAGCCAATATATAGAATTATTTTGCAGTAAATGTGCAGCCTGTATCAGACTGTTAAGATATCAGTCTGTCAATAATGTTGCTGAACCTTCAGTGCCAAGTGGCTGAGCTGGCAGTTTGCATTTCTTCCCATGTTTTCCCTCTGGCACAAAGACGACTCAGTTTCCAGAGAAACAAGTAAAATATCTTCAATATTGTTCACTTGTTTATTTGTTCAAATGCAGTTGCAGAATTGACGAGTATGGAAATAAAACCAATTAATTTAATGATATGAAAGAAAACATCACAGATGGCTACGTTTTTTTTTTCAATCTGTAGAACTTGAGTTTGAGGTACTTTATGTTGGTCCCCTGAATAAAGCTAATAAAGACAGAAAAGAGAATCAAACCTGAGGTGGCCATGATGCACAGCAGAGATGCAGCAGTCTCCCAGAGATTTAGCAGGTTGCAGATGAAGCCTGGATGTGAAAGAGGCAGTCGGACAGAACAGCAGAGAGCTGTGCAGTGAACCTTCAGCGTGAAGTCAGCAGGAGCCCTCTGGTGGCTACACCCGAACAATGCATTCACGATGCTGCAGCCCCAGGGTTCACTCCCCTGTGACACCTCTGCCAGGGTGCGGATTACATAGAGGTTTACCACAGTAGCCCAAAGATAAAACAAATAAAAGCAAAACGACAGATAAAAACATCTGATCACAAAATAGATAAGATAATTTAACAATTCCAATGAGCTACTGGAAACCATGCAGTCTTCTGTGGCCACTAAGAATGAGAGGTGGGGGGGAAAGGGATGACAATATATTCTTGTTTTCATATTTCTATGGCTCCACTATTGCTTGGAGTTTCTTACTTGTAGAGTGATGTGTGTGCACACGCTCAAAATGCACCAGTTAATGTGCATGTGTTTTCTTTTGTGCAGTGCAGTGAACCTGCTCCTGCAACTGTGGGGAGGAAACAGAGACATCTGCATCCTCAACTGACTCCATACAACAAGAACTACAACCCACCAATACACAGCATCGAAAAAAGTCATCTGTAAAATTAAGAGTTATCATTTTTAATAGTCTTCTCCGAGGGCTGCACAATGCAGCATAGATCATTCACCCTCTCGCTGCAGCTGGTTACTGCTGCATGTGTAAATGAAAGGTCTGCAGTGTCAGCAGAAGCAGGGGTGCAGCACAACAGCTTCCTGCACTAGTCCAGTTCTAATGGCAGAGGAAATGAGGTGAGGTTGTCTTTATAAAACAAGAAAGCAAAACCTTTTCAAACATTTGATTTATTATTTTTGCTTCAGTTTGGAAATCACAAAAAATACAAATGAAAATCACACTATTGCCAGCATTAAATTAAGTTGGTACATTATCGAATAAAAAAAAAGAAAATAGGAAAAATAGAAGGATATTAACATTGTGAAATTGGAAAAAGAAAAGCTTCATGCGTTCATGGAAAGATTGTCCTCAGCTGTGATTGTGGTGTTTGCTGCCACCTACTGGCATCACTCTGTAACACTGTGGAAAAGAGGAAGATGATTTAAAACAATCTCCCTGAGCTTCCCTCTGCAGAAAACAGGTTTACAGAGGTTTGTAAAACACTCACCTGATCTCCACTGCTCCTCATCTCTGTGTCTAAGCTGAAGAGAGAAATTCAGATTTAGATTTGTGTGGAAAAGCATTTATAAAATGTTTATATATTACTAAGGAAGAGAAAAATTTACATCTTGGAACACCTGATTCTGCATCAGGACCCTTGGATCTAAAAAAACACATTCA